AACACACTTTCTGACATTATTTTAGATTTATTAAATAGCTTATACACACTCCAATATATTAATATCTTCATTAATATTATTGTTAATAGTTTTTATGATTTCTACATCATCAGTCCTTTTTTTCTGCTCTGTTGTCAACATGTACAGTAATGGGAAATCCAGAGTCTTGCCCATTTAGCGTTAGCCATTAGCTTCACCAGTCGGTCACATGGTCACGTGGTTTCTGCGCACTCCAGCTGTTCTATAGAACCTCCTTGTTTTGATCTGAGTTATTTTCAGTTGTCTCAAGTATTCTATCGTTTTTGTCTATTTCCTTTCTGCAGCGATCCACAACGCTCTTCCCCAGCAGCCATCAAGACCTAGCAACCGCGCCGCACCACTTCCGCCCAAACATTCACAGCCTCCCCCATCTTCGCTTCCCTCCATGCCGCCGACGTCTTCAGCAACGCTTCAGCCTACGCTTCAGCCTAATCTTCAGCCCAATCTTCAGCCTAATCTTCAGCCTAATCTTCAGCCTAATCTTCAGCCCAATCTTCAACCTAATCTTCAGCCTAATCTTCAGCCTAATCTTCAACCTAATCTTCAGCCTAATCTTCAGCCCACACTTCCCATTACCCTTCCGCAGCCCATCCCTCGACCACGGGTTCCTTCGCCTCCATCGCACGGCATCTTGGGTACCCTCTCAGCCCAGCCTCCCCAGGCCCTGCTAGAGGACGACGAGGAGCCGATATCCAATAACTCGGACACGCCGCCGCTCAGTCAGGTCCACACCCTCCTGCAGTCGCTTCAGCCGAGACCCTCGGCTCAAACGCAGCCGCTGCACACCCACTCACCTGGGCAGATCGCACCCCAGCTTGTACCATCGATGCACGCGCAGGTCATGGGGGCAAACCCCCCCGCCCTGATGCAGAGACACATCTCAGGGCACGTGCCGCTGTCCTTCCTGCACACGAACACATCGCTGTCTCAGCAGCAGAAGAGCACTGCCCTGCAGCAGAAGTTACAGCAGTTACAGCAACGGCTGCCATCACCACAAATCAAAGCGGAACCTTTTACATCTACAGGTGAGYATTTTCCCATACTTGAATGTCATTTCAACAAATCACATCAGCATTTAACTGATGATGAAATGGGCTTCAGCGTCCAAGAACAATGTTGATTGATTAACGTAGGATTAAGTCTTTTTTCACTCATATTCACATTCTTTCAAGCTGCAGGACTGCTCTTTGTTTCAGGGTATCATCATCTCAAAGATGCCTACATTATACACAATATTCAGTATTTTACAACCACAACCTGTAATTAAGTTGTGTACTGTCACTGTGTAAAACCCTGCTTGTGCTTGTGTCGTGGAGTTAGATGGCTCAGCTGCAGGTTTTAGGTTGAGGTTTCTTGTCTTCTGTTTTTTTTTTTTCAGGTTCCCTCCATGAAAGCCCCTCTCCTCTGATGATGCATTCTCCTCAGATGCCTCAGTTCCATACAATGGGACAGCACTCACCCTCACAGACCAAGAAGCATGTAAGCAACTCATAAATATCGTTCTGACATAAAAGCCTCAAGAGATGAACCGGTGTAGTGAACACATAACAAACAGGAAATAATGTATTTTAAATTGGATCCTTTGGCACAAAGACACATTTATTCCTGTTTCTTAAGTTGGATCTCTAAACAAAGCCAGTGGTAACTCAGTTTGACAAACAGAAAATAGTATTGTAGTATGAAGATGATTCTCAAAGAACTGGAAACCTGAGAAACAATAGATCATGGGTGTCAAACTCAGGTCCTAAAGGGCCACTATCCTGCATGTTTTCCTTGTTTCGCTGCTCTAACACACATTATTCAGTGATTCAATTACCTCTTCAAATTCTGTAGAAGCCTGTTAATCATCCATTTATACAAATCAGGTGTGTTTGAGCAGGAAAACAAGAAAACCTGCTAGATAGCAGACCTTGAGGAGTTGAAGTCCACTGCAACAGATGATTGATTACCTGAAGGATGATGTATCTCAAATGTTGCTTTCAGAATCAGAATCCTTTATTGATCCCAGAGGAAAATTACAGGTATTACAGCTGCAACTGTTCAGATCAGAGAAATGTGAAAAGAAAGAAAGAAGCACACTAGAATAAAATAAGTATAAACACCCAGGATTACAAAATAAGCACACTTATGTACAAATAAACAATATACAATAAAACTAATAGAAATATTAAAAAATGTGTACAGCACGTAATGAGAGATGTTTGGTATATTGCACATGTTTGAGTGTCATGGGTAAAATACAGTAAATTAAATATCAAATCAAGACTATAAATAAAATCTACAGATGTATTAATATAAATGTATAGATGATGTAGTTTCACATGTTTAGGGAGGAGTTGTAGAGTTTGATGGCCACTGGTAGGAATTACCTCCTGTGTCGCTCTGTGGTGCATTTTGGTGGAATGAGACATGCTGAACGTGCTTCTGTGACTCATTACTGTGTTTTAGAGAGGATGGTAAACATTGGGACTCATGCAAGAACATGTTTTGCTCTTACTTTTGTGTGCAAATTTCCCCAYTGTGGGATCAATAAAGTTTTATCTTATCTCTTATCTTTTGTTCGTACGAACATGTCACGTCAGATTCAACAAACTCTTCTATCTTCAGGAAAAGTGTGTAAATGAGCTGTGTAAATGATGAATGCGTATCAGCTGCTCATGCACTGGGAGAGGAGAGGTGATTAGCATAATTACCAAMCTAAAAACACCATATAAGGCTAGACTTTTCCTGCCCCACATACCAGGAAGTGTCCATTCATAAATGACATTGCAAAGTAAAGAGAAGAACTTTAAGAGTTCAGAGATCGAAGTCCTGCTCTGAGATCCAGAAAAGAACAGTCACTAAACTGCACAAAATGCTGGCATGGTACAAGGACTGGACATAAATTTCATAAAGACGATAAAACAAAACCAGCTAATTAACTGTAAAAGGCCATCACAACGCCTGAAGAAATATTCATGAAGACCACCACTTGTAATAAAGTTTGGTCTTTATAAAACAGTGTGAAATATTACAGGTGGCTTTAAGCTCTCGCTCAGTGCTGTATGAAAGTGTATTTTAAGACACTTAAAGGTTCCACGTTAAGTTGGACAAAAGTTTTTATTTTGTTTTTTGTTTTTTTTGTTTTTGGTCTTTAATTTTGATTTTGTCTCTCCATAGGAACAGAGGTCCAGCCTCGTGGGGGTTAAAGAGGAAAAGCCTCCACAGTCTCCAGTTTTGCCCCCATCACCTTTCAGCCCAGTAGTCCGCCAAGACACAAACAAACCAGACAACAAACTCAGTGAGTGCAAAATTTCCTCTCAGCTAACTGCTATTCTCAAAATGCTGTAAACAAAGCTGCATATTCAACAACATTCTTTTTGCGTTGTTATAACCCCCAACATAAACTGTATATTTGATCTAAATCCGAGCACATTTTAAAAACTAAAAAATGACTCAAGATTAATAATTTCTCCTTTTATTCCTCCCACAGATTTAGACGTAAAGCCACTAGATGGTTCACGGCCCTTCCCCCGTCTCCCAGACTCCCCAGCACAGCCCTGCTCCCAACAGGACCTCAAAATCAAACAAGAACCCAAAACTCCAATTGCACCCAAGAAAACACAGGTGTGTACAAACATCAGTCACATCCAATAAAGGCTTCTGTTTCATTGTTCATTTCATAAGCTTCTACCTCTAACTGCCTCCTCTTATTATTTTTCTCTCTCCCTAGGATGTGAAATTAAAGAACATGGGTTCTTGGGCCAGTCTGGCCCAGAGGCCCCAGTCCACGCCGGCCTCTGCGGTGCGCTCCTCCAGTGACAGTTTTGAGCAGTTCAGACGGGCCGCCAGGGAGAAGGAGGAAAGGGAGAGGCAGTTGAAAGCTCAGGCAGAGCAGGCCAGGAGAGAGCAGGAAAAACTACGGTAAGTTTTAAATTAGATGGAGGTTTTACGAGCAAACTATTACACAACAGGTGACTGTTGCAAGTCAGAAAAGGGCATTGTGGGAGTTAGAGAAAGAATGAACWGGAAAAAATAACACTACTAATAAAACAAATGTTTTTTTCCCCTGAAAGGCTAAAAGTACAGTTCAAACTTGATGTTTACATACACAGTATTTAAAGACACACATTTTCCCCACTGTTTGTCATTAAATCAGAGTAAACCTGATCTGTTTTAGGTTAGTTAGGTCTCACAAAATGGTTTACATTTGCACAAATAATTAGACATTTTTTTAGGGACTTTGGTTTGTTATCTTCATAGTTGCATACACTAAGATGAATAGGCTTTTAAATAATTTACGAAAGCCCAGATGATGACGTCATAGCTGTTTGGTTTCAGTTTGTTTTCTTCATTTGCGTTAGTTTGAGGCAAACCTATGGATGCATTTAAGACACACCTCAAACAGGCTGCTTCTTTGKGTGGCATCATGGAAAAAGTCAAAAGAAGTAAGCCAAGATATCGGGTAGAGAACCGTCGCCTTCCACAACTTCGGTTCATTCTTGGGTATACTCTCCAGATGCACGAAGGAACATCTTGTTCAAACAGTGTTCAAATCTAAGCACCATGGGAATGACCTGCCATCGTACCGCTAAGGGCGGGGATGGGATCTGTGTTCCCAGGATGAAGGTGTTTTGGTGCAAATTGTTTGTATAAAACACAAAACACAAAAGGAACGTCTTGTGAAGATGCTGGTCAGAGATTATTATTATTATTGTTCTTGGTGAAACAAGTCCTGTACCAACATGAGCTGAAAGGCCGTTCAGCAAGGAAGAAGCCATTACTTTGTAAACAACATAAAAAAATCCAGATTACAACCAGGACACAGACCTTAATTTCTAAAGACATTTCTGATGAAACTAAAAATGGGCAGTTTGACCTGATTGACCATTTGGCGGGAAAACGATGCTTTCACCATCCCAGCTTTAAAGTATGAATATGGCAGCGTCACGTGATGGGTGTGTTTTGTTGTGCTTCCTAAAATAGATGACATAAAAAAGAAAGAACATTATGTGGAAATATTAAAGCAATATCTCTGGGAGCGGCTGTAGCTTGGTCATCAATGCCACAGTCTTGTAATCCTGAATCAAGCCCTGGTCATCAGGAAGGACGTCCAYTGTAAAACAATTGCCAAATCCTGTGTGGGTTTGTTCACTGTGGAAAGCCCTCCATAGGATAGCAGCCGAAAGAAAAATAACATTGAAGCAATGTCTTAAGACTGGACCTGGGAGGTTGAGGCTTGGGCACAAATAGTTCTTCTCAAGGGACAATGACCCAAAGCAAACTGTCGTATTTGTTACAAAGTGGCTTAAGGAAGACATTTGGTCCAGTAAACATGAAGCCCTGATCCTAACCCTGCAGAGCAGGGGTGCCCAAACATTTTTCCTGAGAGGGCCAAAATTCAAACATTTTCTCTGAAAGGACCAAAATTAAAATCAATCTGAGGGCCGCAGGCCAAAGGCAATAATATAATACATAAAATGCAAATACTTCTTAAGTAAAGTTGTTTAATTTTTTATGATTTAGCTAGCAGCCAGTGTGGTTGCCCACATTCTTTTGTTTGTTTGTTTTCAGCCCATGGACATGGAGAAAATTTGACGTATGCTAGGGCAGCAAAGGCTCATGGGACTTTTATTAATTTAAAATTTGAGTATATGGGGTCTTATAAGGTGTGCAGATCTAGATAAGGGCTTAAACTGTCTCTTGTAGTTACTTGTATTTTATATTTAATCTTCATAAAATTCAAAGATAAAGTGAGTGCCATGAGTTAAGACTATCTGACTACAGCTCCTTGTACGTATAGTTGGACCAATGGTTGAGAAGACCAAGTGGAAATATTGTGTTTCTACATAAAAGATTACAATCTAGTAAACCTGGACAACTGCTAGTGGACCAAATCAAATGGGGCCCTACTTTGGGCACATCTGCCGTAGAGAATCTGTGGGCACAGCTGAAGAGTGTGTTTGAGCTAGCTGGCCTACAAACCGACCTCCGTTACACCGGCTCTGTCAGGAGGAATGAGACAAAACTCCAGCAATATTTTTGTGAAAGCTTGTGGAAGGAAACTCAAAAGCTTTGATGCAAGTCGTAGAGTTTAACAGCAATGCTAGCAGATACTGAGGGAATGTGTTCAAACTTGTGTCCAAGAAGAAAGTAATGGAAACATCTCAATATTTGGCTTTTAACAAATAGAAGTGGTTTTGGAAGTCAGGGATGTTAAATGGTAAACATTGCGTAAATACATGGTTCCACCTTCCAAGAATAGGCTGAAGTTTTACGAGTGTTTTCTGGTCATCGGATCTCTTGTTAAACAACGCGGGCTCACAGCTGTTGCTCGTTTCTGCTCCACAGCCGAGACGACGACGACACGATGGAACAGGCTCGCCGCGCACAAGAAGACGCCCGCCGTCGCCAGGAGCAGCAGTCGCCTCTCGCACCGCCTCAAGCCTCGACTCCACCCACTCACTCCCCACAGCCCCCTCCTGCACAGCAACAAGCTCCGCCCCCGCCCACCTTAGCTGCACAGAACGCTCTCGACCAGCAGAGGGAGCTGGCTCGTCGCCGTGAGCAGGAGAGGCGCAGGCGAGAGGCGGTAAGACCCAACCTCCAGCTTTAAAAAGGAAAGCGTTTGATCTGTATGATCGTCCAATAATCTTATTTTTTGTTTTTTTTTTCCTACAGATGGCTGACACAATTGACATAAATTTTCAGAGTGACCTGATGGCAATTTTTGAGGAGAATCTGTTCTGAAAGGGAAAAAGACAGCTGGAGAGAAGGACCTGTAGTCACTCATAAGCAAAGTTACTGAAACTCTGACGTGCACCGATGCTGCTCACACAGATCCACACAGACCTGATCACAACTGTTCCTTTCTGTCCTTAATGGAAGCAGCTGGTTTGTATCATGTGCAACAGGGAGGAATGGAATCGGATGATCGTTTTTTTTTTTTTTTTTTTTTGTTTTGTTTTTGTTTTTTTTTCCTCCAGCCTCAGATAAAAGTTTGACATTATGTGAGCGATTGTTGGTCATTAATCTCTTGGGTCAGCAGGACAATTAAAATCTGCTCTATCAAGGCAACGTTCTGAAGACATTTTAAAAAAAAAGAAAAAAAGAAGTGGTGCAGAGCAGGATTTCATTTACCACATTTAAGTTAAAATCAAGAAAGCCTTTTACTGTCATGTTTAAAAAAATGTACACAAACAGGCGAACAAACTGATATTGTTTCCTCTTTTTTTTTTTTTTTTGCCTCTCCAAATCTGTTGTAGTTTTTGATTCATTTCATTTAGTCAAGTTGTAGCTGGGACGGATGGACTCCAGTGGTCCAGTTTGTCAGGTTCAGCCATCATCTGAATGGGAGCAAAACACCTTGGTCGCATGCACACACACTTTTTTCTTTAACTCAACCTCCTCTCTCCTCTTACCTCCTTCTGCTCCTCCTCCTGTGCAGAGGAGGTGGAGGTTTCATCAACATTCAGCCTCCAAGAGCAAAGGAACGATCATATTTCAAAGGTTTTAAAGTGTGTTCTCTGCCTTAGCGCTCTGGCCTGTAAACTAATGATCACACCCTGCAAATTATACATATTATATATATGAATAGAAACGTGAATATATAAATATATATATATTATATATGTCAAAAAGTCATTAAAAAAGAATATGGGAGGAATTTTAATTGCGGGGAGCAAAGCTCGTGTCTGTGTTTATCTCTGAGCTATGGTTTTGAATTTGTAGACTTTACTGTAAAAAGAAAAGGAAAAAAACATTTTTTATGATTCTATTGAGAGGATTGTTTTGTCTGTCATTCTTCTCTCACACACTTTTCCTTTCTTCCTGAACTCTATGCCAAAACCAATCTGTTGAGTGCTGAAAGTTCTTTCATTTTATTATTTTTTTTTTCAAGTACAACTCATCTTTTCACTTTATATTAAAGGCTATGTCTTTGTTGCTATTTAATTTTTCTTCAACCCTTTTTAAATCCGAAGTTATGCAACAGTATGCTCTTTAATGGCAAAAAAGCGGTTTAAAAAATGTGATTACTAGGTCCTATCATTTTGTGTTCTATAAATATACATTTAAGTGGTCAAACACTTGAGTCTTTTTTTTTTCCTGTGCAGTTTTTCTTTTCTTCATGTATGGTTTTAGTTATTTTTTTTAATTGTCCTGTCAACCGCCACCATCTCCACAGCTTCAGCAGTTTGTAAGATAGGCTCATGTTTCTCATTATG